ATTTTAGAGAATTAAGACACAGTAAATAGTTATAAAATATGTTTCTATTTTTATTAATACAAAAGAAAAACAATAAGAAAGCTATCAAATACATGCACTTCTGTTTTGTTGATTGGAAAAGAAGAAACAAAAAATAGGAAACGAAAAATAATAAATAAGAATATAAACGTTATCAAAGAGACCCTTATCATTTCTAGTTAGTCTATCTTCTCTCGTTGTACTCCGTATTAAATTACATTGAGTCAAAATATTTTCAAGATTATCGATTAAAAAAGAATATTTTATTAATATTAAAAAGAATGGACACTCTTTAAAAAGCATAGAATAAAAATGGCCATCCTCTACAAATTGAAGAAAAGACAAATACTAATAGTACTATAGTAGATGGTAGAACTATAATAATTAAATCGGTAAGATAAAAACTCCTAAAATAATTGTAATAGTTTTTTTAGTACATGTTGGGATGGGTATATACCAATGATCGCTGATCTATGCTCGTTTTGACAATAATTGCAATAGTTTTAGTGGGGTCTACCTCAAAAAATGGTGAATATAAGATTTCTATCGGAGATAAATATGGCTAATAAATCTTCAACCCACTTGACTCTAAAATAAATTAGGAATATTTTTCACTAAATAATAAATAATCACTAAATTATGGTTTATTGATCCTTGGACGATAGTATTGTTCAATTCTTTGAAAATTAAAGTAGGAAGATAAAAGATATAAATTTATTTTAATTCTTATAAATTGTTATTTGTGACCTAGTGTGAAGATTATATTGTTTAAATAATTTTTTTAAAACAATTTTATTTTATTATATTATATTAGAGTTTGGAGGGAGGGATCAAACTTGGGCAAACGAGAAAATCCAAAAGGTTAAAAAAAAAAACTAGTTTGGCTGCTTGGTGGCTTCGAAATAGTTATCTATAAATCTATCTTTAATTATAGAAAAAAAGAAAAAGAGAAAATTGATAAATAAAAAATCCGTATTTAATATAGAATACTATTATCAAAATACGTCCACGACAAAATTTTTATTATTTTTGAAAGAAACTCCCAAGCAGCCATGGCAAATTAACAACCGCTGTCAAATGAACAGAAAATCGCAGGATGGGTCATTATTGTAATAAATATTTAGCAGATATTTCCGGCGTCCAAGTTTGACTCTAACGTCCACGTAATTTAATGCCTCCGGCAAATTAGGTACGGCCAAAACAATATTATAATTTTAGTCCAAACTTTTATATTTGTTTTATAAAAAGTTGTACGATCAAATATTTATTTTAGATTTATTGTGTGTATATATATATGGGAAATTTTAGCACGTAGATAACAAAAATCTTTTATGTATTTCAAAATATGTCATCTATTTTTTAATTTTCAAATATAGTCAGAATTTTTACTCATATCAATTGTATATCAGACATTCATATCAGTAATATACTATATGTATATCACATATATAAGGTATAGATATCCGTTAAAGCGAGCATAACTTAACGATAATTGACATATATCTCCAATTAAGAGGTTGTGAGTTCTACTCCCACCCTACATGTTTGTACTAAAAAAATTGTAAATACTCATATATATTTCATGGTTGACTATATTTTGGTTAGCTACTAATTTGTTTCTTAAAAAAGAGTATTTACGGCTGATTCATAACAAAACAATAAAAACCTTACATAATTGCATAGTAAGAAAATTAAAAGAAAAAATTGGTTTGGTAACATTAATTAACATATTTAATTTACATAAAAGTTAAAATAGTAGGTACAAAATTGTCCATCGACATAGAGGAATGTTAAAGAAAGGGTCCAATAATGGATGACCACAACCTTTAAACCTCACCGAAATAAAAATAAAAACAATTTATGTAATGTATAAATTTATAATTTATATATGCTTTTTTTATGAATATTATTATTTATATATGCTTAAGCCTTAAACCAACAAAAATTGAATTGATATTGCTTTCTTTTGATCACGTTAATAATTTGACTTGGAATGTGACATCTCTGGTTTCGTCGTTTTTATTCGTTTTATTTATTTTTTCTTTTTAAAAAGCCAAGTGGCTCTCTTTTGGTGGACCACGTCAAAGGAAATGCATTGGGATTGGTGTCACCTACCAATTTTGTATTCCCACACGTATTAGTTTATTTGGTTTAATATTTGATAAAGTAATGAATGTGATTGTCACACAAAAAAAAATAAAAATATAAAGTAATGTGATTGGGAGTAAATTATTGGGCTTAAATTATGTTCATGCAAGATAATTATACATTTCATTAGAAATATGAATTTTGTAATCTAAAGGGCTTTATTACGTATAATAATGATAAAGAGATTCAACAAAGTCTCGATAACTCGGCTGACAATAGTCGAGTCCACCTTATTTTACCTATCGGCCGACCTTTGAAGAACACCAATGGGTGCAAAGGCAACAAAGATATTTTCCGACAACATATCGTATTTTTCGGAGTGTTGGAGAGCCATTAGAACGCTATCGGAAGCTGTAACGAAGTTCATCTCTATAAATATAGATCTCAATACCTCTCATGCAAGGTACGCGAAACTATTCTCACTTTGAGCAATAGATTGATTGAGTACTAACTTACTCTTCGAAGTGTTAACCTTGGCTTGCAGGTACTTCGAACGTCAGCATCCCTCATTTGAGCTTTTTGGATTTTAAGCATGACCATTTTTTGGATCAAACACAAAAATATCCAATATTTATATATTTCAGTCCCCAAGATAGATTGAGTGGCTTGAGGCTTCAAGGAATATCCAAGGCCAACGAGCACCGACTCCGAATAATAAAATATATATATATATATATATATATATAAGAATTTGAACTCATGATCTTTAGGTCAGAGATATATGCCAATTACCGAACTACACTCATGTTGGCATATAAATTTTCGTAAGACCATCAAAATGTTGACAAAAATATTGCAAATATAAATATAAGTACCAATGCGGGGAATTTATAACTTATTTAGGGAGTTTGGGATTTGAAAAAAAAAAATTATCAGTTTATGTACTTATTATGAATTTTTAGTTTTCATGTTTTTCTGTCTTTTTGATGTTTTTTTTTTCTTTTGAATAGGAGTGGTATTAAATTTTCGTCGATATCAACATTTTCACATATTATACACAACATGGACATATAAAATAAATCAACATTTCTATTATACCGTAAAAGTTGAAAAATCAATAAGACAAAAAATAATTAAAAAAATGACTCCTAACATAAACATAATAGTAATACTAGTATAAATTTTTAACTCACTTCAAAAGAGTGGAAGACTAATTTTTAATAATATTTTTTATTTGTATAATTTTTTTTATCCATATTTGCATAGAATTGAAACCTTTCATATTTTTGTCAACATATCAAGATCTAAAACCCCATCCTACAAATGCAATCATTTTCATTAAAAAAAAAAACTCCCAAGATATTTTGTTAACATTTATATTGATTTTTTTATTCAAATTGAAATTTCTATATTTTCAACTCCCATATTTAACAAATTCGTGCTTTTCTAACCAAAGCATAGTTAAGTAGATAAGACATCTATTACCATCTAAAAGATTAATAATTTGATCCATCCCTCCTAAATCGTTGAAAAAAAAAGAAAAAAAATCATTGATATTTATTTTTTAGTTCAAAATTGCGTACGTTGAGGTTTGAACATCTGATCTTTTGGTCGAGTATATATATGTTTTAATTCATTAAGTTGTGCCGATATTGCTTAAATTTGATCACAAATCTAAGTTTAAATGTATACGTTATTTGTCACTTATTATAATGACGAACATGTGGATGTTGTCTTGTGGTCCTTTCCTATTTCTCTATCCTTTTCTTTTTTTATGGTTTCTCTCTTCATTTGAAAGTTTTAATGCATGTGCCTTTTATCTTGGATGAAACCAATATATTCAAAATGCAACAAATAGAAGATATGTCTTATTCTTTATCTAATTTGTTTCAGTTAGGGCACCAATGGATATAAATAAAGAAGAGTAATAATAAAGGTTGTTAGAGATATAACTATATATAAAATACAAAATTGGAAGACATTAGTAACTAAAAATAAATAAATACATCTAAATTTTCACTAAAATATGGATAAATAGATTTATGAAAAATTTCAAACTCCTATTTTTAAATTTGATAATATAATATTTGTATTAGTATAGACATTCGGTGAAAGTTTCGTCCTTATATTAGATTACTAAACACCTTAGATAACCTTCAATACAAATTAAGTAAGTAGTTTCTTATTCTATTAAGTTTAAGTTAGAATCTTGTATGAATTGGTGTACCCTGAGCTTATGTATAACGCAATAGATTACGGACATTTTCGAAGGTGTGACTCTATCTTTTATATGAAATCAACGTTAGGAATCGTGACTCTATCACTACAACAGCCATACCCATCATTCGACGAACTTTGTATCATCTGGAATGTAGTAAATTTCTCGCCAGATTGGAGTACAATTGAGCTTTACTTCCAATAACATGAGTCATCCCTTCTTGTCTTCAAAATATGAAAACCAAGACTCATATACACATGTCGTAGTGGGGGAGGACCATGCGTTCTCCTCGAGTACTTTGCCTCATATAACACAAATTATATAGAAATTAAAGATTTATTTTTCCTTAAAAAAAAAAGAAAACAAGAACGAGAACGAGAACCAGAAAGAACGAAGGAACTTGGTTTTTTAAATACAAACTTAGGAATTTTACTTAGGATCGAATATATATTTTGTTCCACTGATAAAAGGCATTTTTAGCTACGAATTGGTAGTGGGAACTGGGAACTGGGAGGGAAGTAAGGAAAAGGATAAGAAGGAAAAATCGTCGGCAAGTACACGCGTTTTTATTTTCAAAGAAACACCAACACGGTCTGTAAAGTGGAAAAAAAATATATTAAAAAAAAAAAAAGATAATGCCCAAAAGTCAAACCCACCTATTTATATCCACCTGTCCTCTATCTCTCTCTCCCTAAAACTCGCTTTTCCTCTGAACAATTCTCTCAACCAAATTACAAACCCAATCCAATCCATGACCACCGGAAGAGAAATCCTCCACAAGATGAAGGTCTCCAATAATTAATTTCTGCTTATATAATTCGTTATCTGCCTTTTCCAACAATTTCAATGTTGTTATTGTGGTGATTAATTAATTGTTTGTTATTTTAGGTGAAGGCAGGATTTTGTTCTTCGGCAGGCGATGCAGCTGGGAAAGGCAAAGCCAAAGCGTCGTCGAAGAATTGTAGCAATATAACTCATGGATGTCACTTGGTGAAGGGCAAAACCAACCACCCCATGGAAGATTATTTGGTCTCCGATTTCAAGCGTGTCAAAGAACACGACCTGGGTTTATTTGCAATTTTCGATGGCCATTTGGGCCACGATGTCGCTAATTTCTTGCAAAACAATCTCTTCGACAATATTCTCAAAGAGGTATACACACTACATATAAATATTTCATTTTTATAAACCAAAAATAAATTATTTAATTTTAATAATTTTCCTTAGGCTGACTTCTGGAGCGAAACAAGAAAAGCCATAAAGAGAGCTTACAAGAAAACGGACGACGAAATATTGGATAAAGTGAAGCAATTGGGAAAAGGGGGATCCACGGCTGTAACTGCCATTTTAATCGACGGTCAAAAACTTGTGGTTGCCAACGTCGGAGATTCTCGAGCTGTTCTGTGCAAAAATGGTGTCGCTGAACAGCTTTCCGTTGATCATGAACCTTCCAAAGAAAAAAGGGAGATTGAGAGCCGCGGTGGTTTCGTATCAAATATTCCAGGTCTTATTTTCATTATTGCTTTCGTTTTCTGAACAAAAATAAATGTTTCAATTCCTATTAAATAAAAAAGATTTTAAATTGAGCTGTGAAATGTTGACTATTTCAGGAGATGTTCCACGTGTCGATGGGCAATTGGCCGTGGCAAGAGCGTTTGGGGACAAGAGCTTAAAACTCCACCTCAGCTCAGAGCCTGACGTTGAAGTGAAAACGGTGGATGAAACTACAGAGTTCATGATTTTGGCTAGTGATGGCATATGGAAGGTAATTTAATTACAAATTTATTTTTAAAAAAAGAAAAAAAAACTCTAATATTTATTTCCTTTCCTATTTTTCTGAAAATTGTTTCGGAACTCAATAAAATTTTATTTATAATTACAGGTAATGACTAATCGAGAGGCAGTGGAATCTATTAGACACATAAAAGACGCTAACTTAGCGGCCAAACGACTCATCGACGAAGCAGTATCTAGAAAAAGCAAGGACGACATATCGTGCATTGTTGTTAGGTTTCAGTGATTTATTTTTCCTTTTTCTTTTTCTTTTTGTTTTTTTTTCCCTTTTAAATAGAGTGTTAAATATCAAAGTGTGGATATTATTCGACAGTAAATTTGTTTTGCCAGTTGGCTGCTGTCTGTAAGGTTCGATGCTACCTGAGTAGATAATTTTCTCTTATAAATATTATTTTTCAAGTATAAAATTTGGCTTGCCCGTACATTTTGATGTCTCATGCACTCTTCGTGTTCGTGCTATGGGCTTGATTCTTTGGTTACATTATGGGCCTGGATCACAGTGGGCTTCAAGTAAGGCTTAGTTTGTTTGGACTCGAACAGTTGGGCCCATAGGAATGGGATGAAATGGAATTAAATGCAAATTACTTATAAAAGTCATTCTAAAATTTGATGTAATATAAGTGTGAGACAACTAACCTAGAAAATCAAAGTGAAATAGCATGCAGCTTGGTCCCATAACCATATCTACCCACACTCCTAGAGAGGGAGAGAGGGAAATCTAAGCCCAATCAAGTAAAAGTCTGAGAACTCCTTTTGTATCAGATTTAATTTTCTATAGTTTAAAATTATACTCATTTTCTATTTGTTCTCGTGTAGAAAACATAATAAATATGAGTAATTTAACAAGCTTTAACTTTTCAAAATAGAAAATTTATAAAAAAAGAAACCATCTCAATTTTAGTTAATATTATTTCGTTGGACCAAATTTGGATCCTATCAACATTCACAAGGTTCCATCTTAAAATTAATTGACAATGATCTTAACATACCCTTCACGATGTTGAAGGCTTTATTATATGATTATTTCAATTTTTCTAAGGTTATTCAGCTATAAAGACATGGAAAAAAAAACTTTCAAAGATACAAAAGTTCACCTTAAAAAAAAAAGCTTAAAATTAGAAATGAGGTGTAATAGGAAAATGAAGCCTCTAGAATTTTTATCTTGAATAGAATATATTTTCCTGCTTAGAATTACCTCTAGGAAGAAAAAAAAAAGAGTTTTCAGCCATTTAAATTAACAAGGGAGAACAGTAGAGATTGTTTAATAAGTTTTTGGTAAAAAGAAAAAAAAAAGTGTAATAAGTACGTGACATGGGGTGTAGAAAGAAATTTGATAACGTAGGCACTAGGCAAGTAAAAAGCATTGTTACATTACTATATAGTAAGGTAAAATGAAATACATAACAATTGGCTACATTAAATGAAGAATTTTTATGGTTGGGCCAATTGAAGGCCTAGAGAGAGAGATTTACAAGCCTATAATTTTTCTAGCATAATCTAATGAGAAATATCATTACTGGCTTTTATTACAAGCATCCTCCAATTATTTCACTAGCCATACTTTGCCCATATAATGCCATACATAGATAAATCAAATCCAACATTTTCTTATTTAATTTTTACCCTCAATTAATTTCTCAACCATCTAACAACTTGAACTATAAAATTTATTGTCAAATTTAAAAAACAAAAAATAACAAACTTACAAAGATAAAAGAAATTTGTTTCCTATTTCATTTCGTTGATTTGAATACAACAAATTATACAAACGTTGTAAGAATTTGTAATGGTTATCAAGTTATGTTTCAATCGATACATATAGTTTTTAGTAATCCACATTGTCTATATCTACAATACAGACAGAATTTGTAATTTAACATTTTTTTTATATATAATTATACTATGGATTCGAGAAACAATTCGAGGGTTAATTACCATATTACCAACGTATTTATCTCCTAGATAAGTTTGAAAATAAAAATACTTTTTCACACATTAATTTAAAGAAAGCTGCGGAGATATTACGAGTAGTGCCAATACCACATCCTAACACAGCAAGCAAAATTCCAAAATAACTTGGGTCAGACGAGAAGACGGAAAATAGTTTGCAATAATTAAATTAGCATATGAATACTTTAACAATATTAATTAAAAAACAATATCCAAAAAACCATATATTATAATAGAGACAAAATAATATAAATGTTTGAGCCCTATGGTGCTGCCACATACCCAAATTTGCATGCTTACCCCAAATGCAGTGAAGCCACGCAACTTCTCCCCCATACCGCCCCCCTCATCCCCTGCAATTTCTTTCTCTCTCCTCCCCTTATATAAATACCGTTTCTCTCTTCTTCTTCTTCTACGCCAATTTTTCTTGCCCTAATTTCTTCTGGTTCAAGAGTTTTTCGATGAGCGGTGTTTGTGCTGAGCAGCAGAAATTTCAATTTCAATTTCCTTCTTCTTCTTCTTTGTCGTCGTCTTCGCAATTTCTTTCTCAGAAAATCCCCTTTCTGAAGGACATTAACGTTCCGCCGAGGAAGCTTCTTGCTCGCCTTGAGAACGCTGAGATGTGTTCCGATTCGCCGCGATTTTCGTTCTCTGTTGATTCTCTGTTGCAGAAATTTCTGCCGTTCAACGGCGAGGACGAGGCGGAGGACGACGACGGCGATCCGTATTCGTCCGATCATTTTCGGATGTACGAGTTTAAGGTTCGGCGGTGTACGCGTAGCCGGAGCCATGACTGGACGGACTGTCCGTTTGCG